CATTTCAAGCGGTCCAGCAGAAGCTCGCCATGTTGAGCCTGGTTCTGCCAGAGGTTTCTTCCCAATGGGTAGTTTTACCTCTCCACTGTCGCTTCATGCTTGCTCATCATGGACAGGTTCTCTCAACCTGTGTTATCCAAGCTGAACTTCCATCTTCCAGATCCCTGAGTGAAGCTCTAGTATCAGCTCACACAGTCCACTGGATTGTGTGAGCATCCCAGTTCCCTGTTCTTTACTCCTTTTCATGCATATCAATCAAAATTTAGTGCTATGTGTCCTGTCGAGGTCTGAGTGTAAAAGACTAAAGAAATTGTCTCAATAAAATTATTCTAATGGTCTTTTTCTTTCCGTGTTAGATTTAACTGCTATAGACTTTGGCTGCTTGAGGACATAGGGACCACTTTTCATCATTCTGCTTCATTCTATCACTGTACTCTAATTCTGCAGTATTTGTTAGTTTAAACCCTATCTCTATGTTCTCTCTGCCTTTTTCTCATTATAGTAGTTCTGATTGGCTGTGGAATTATCAGCTGGACTACTGACACTAACACCTCTGATTATAGTTGGGTCTGTTTTACAGTGCTTAGTCCTTTTCTCTATCCTGGACATGACTATGGGCTCAGTGTTTACTCTGTATGTGCTCTCTTTTATCTCATTGACAGAAAAATTGTCTCAAAGCTCATCTGCTCATGTGTTTCTTTTATAGACAGATCCACCTTTGGAGTTAGCTTACGATACCCTTTCTAACGCTGAAAGTTCCTTTTGTGTGTCTGCTAATGTCTTCTCAAATCCCAATTCAGCCTCGGCAGAAGGCCATTCCCTACTTTTAAAAAATAATTGTCCCTCTCCACTGCAAGAACATATCTACTGTCGCCAAATGCTTATCCAGGAAGAATGAATCTGAAGTTAGGAGGACTGGATGTAATCACCTGTATTTTCTTAGAAACAGAACACAGAAAACTTTCAATCTGACTATTATCTGATGCAACTGCCTTGAGATGACGTTTATGGTGAATTGTTGCTATTTGAATAAACTGAACTGAATTGCATCTTCAGTCTCTGTTTCCTGTGCTAAATAAAAGTTCTACAGAGGTTTTACATATGTATATACAATATACTGTATGCTCAAATCTTGTAAAGTGATGATAGAGAAGGTCTGACATAACTAGCAAAGGGAATGTGTACAATGTAATCAAAGCAGGGGTTTTGAGATTTTTGCTAAAGTCAATTGTGGTTACAAAAAAATGGTTATTTCTCACCACTAGATTGAATTGTTTTCCTATAAAAAGTTGATGTTTTGTACATTCTGAGATGCAAGATCCTCCTGCTGTAAAAGCTAATTTACTGTATTTTTCACATCCTGGCTAACAAAACTGTCCCTGAAGCAATACAAAGGCTTTCAGTGATCTACAAAACACAAGGCTTTTGGTTTTATGCTCTCTTCACCTCAGGACAAGGTTAACATGAGTCTGAGTTTCATTTAGTTTCTTCTTTTCTTGTCATTTCTATTCATGAAATTAGATTTGAAAAACTGTTCTGAGATCAGTGGTTTCAGAAAAAATTCATGACAACATAAAAATAATTACAGAAATTGTTGCTTTGTTTTCTATAATTGCATTTCTAGATATGAAAAATAAGATACCCACACTATAGGACATTAGGCATAGGGCAACAACTATGAGTGTAACAAATAGGTTATAATATTTTTTTACAAGTTCACAAAAATCTGTATCATATAAAGGCATCATCGTTCACAAAAAGATTATGCTATATATCAGTTATGATCGCTATAATACAACAATAATTTAGCCCCTCTGAACAGGAAACTTTTCAAAACAATTTACAAATGTTTGTCAAAGCTCTGCCCCAGCTTAATTTCAGTAATAAGTCTCTGATCCTATATTATCCCTCCTTCCAGATGTAGATAAAATCCAGGACATAAAAATGCAGACTGTTTCTAAAAATATTTCTGGAAAAAAATGATGCTATGAAGACCACAGTAAAATTTAGGATGGCACAACAGCAGATTGCCAAGAGTGCACAAGGTCAAATCAAAAAATGTCTTGCTACTTTCTACTACAGTGGAGCATGTAGACAATACGGAGGCTTTTGAAACCAACCGCTGCAAAGCAACAACTTTGTAGCAAAACGAAGGAATCGTAACTAAAATAGTGCCAAGAGCTTCATGGAATGGGAACCTTTGTAACTTAAGGGTCCAAGCCTTACAAGCAGCAGGTGCAAAGCAAAGTGTTGGATGCAGTGGTGTAAAGTAAGCCACCACTGGACTCTACAGCATTTTCTCTAGTTAAAATCATCCTTTTTTGACTGGTAATAAAAGTCTTGTGCACATATGTGTCTGCAAACATATGTGCTGAAGCATACATGGTGTCTAACTACAGTGCTTGGTGGGAAAGCACTTCACCCCAGGAACAAGTATTCAAGCAGAAATGTTTTAAATGTGAAATGTAAAAAGAGCTGGCAAGGCTCCTCAAGCACTGCAGTAGCCGCTCTTTTGTCTCCCAATGCACATTTAGAGGTGGGAGAAGAAATTGCGCATTGTATAGCTAGATGGCAGTGTGTGAAATAAAGGCATTTGTCATGAAGATCCTTCCTGCCTACAGCTTTCAACAACTACAGCAACTTGTTAAACAGAAAATCCTATGAGTTATTGCAATCTAATTCTCCTCTGGAAATAAAGTATTTTTGATTCTGCGCAGGTCTTATTATGATGAGGGATTGTTTCTGGGGAATTGAGCTGAATAGTTTCAGTGAAAGGAACTCTTAATGTGTCCATATGTCAAGGTAATTAAGACAGTTCAATATGTGGATTGATGACTGCAAACAAGTGAAAGAGTTTAGAGCTAAGAAATACGCCTGGTCAGCACAAAGCCCTAAACTTATCTCAGGCATAAATTAGAGCAAAAGCTGCCAGGTCTTGTTGCCCAACATCAGTGTCAGACCTCAGAAATGTGCTTCTGCCAAAAATTTCTAGAAATCCAGTAGCAGCCATTCAGAATGGCCCTTCCCAGACAAACGCCAGCCAAATGGCAGCCAACTTCCAGCCACTGGAGGGTCCCCCTCCTTCTCCTGGGCATGCATATTTCTTTACTCTGACTCCGACCTTTCAATGAATTTATGGTCTGACCAGGAGAAGGCACTTCTCTTTAGATTTTAATATCCACAAATCATGACAGAAAGAATATTTTAGTACAAAGATTGATGCTTACAAAAGGAATCTTAGGGGACCAGCCAAGGACCCATCAAGGAATGTGGGTAAAATTTGAATGGCCACTACTGTACACTACTAGCACTTGTAGAATGACTTCCCAGAGCATTCTAGGCTATTATATTTGCAAAAGATGGGCCAATGTCATATAAATTAATGAAGGGGTGTTACTCCAACTCATATGAGGGTGAAAGTGATAATTTTTGGCAATGTAATTCATTAACATTCCTAAAAGCATTGCCTGGGAAAATGTTATATACTATAATATACTAAACAAATCGATCTCCAAGGAACTAAGAGCGGAGCAGATGGGAGCCACAGTGGGGGCTGTAGGCTTTGCTTTGTGCAGGCGGTCTGGGGCACAGCGGGGCTGAGCGGAGCGGAGTATGTGGGATTTCAGGGTTAGCATGACATGTTGGTCATGCTGCTGTTAGCATAACCAAAACATGTTGCACAATGCTTGCACACTGTTGCAAGTTGCTCCCACGCCGCTCGCAGCCTTACTATGAACGGCAGGTTCACACTGATGTCGAGCGGTTGAAGTTCCTTTGTCAGACCTCCCGGATAACAGCAAGCACAGCGTTTATTTGTTTCACCATGTTTTTCACATCGGCTGTGAGATGGGCACGCATGGAGTCACAGATTAACAGCGATGGTGATGCGTGGAAAAAAACACCTGGTCTCCTCACATACACCTGCCTCAGCCACGCTTTCATCATCTCCTCATCCATCCAGCCCTTTTCATTTGAGTTAATCTCATATGTCATCAGAGCGCTGTGTCTGTCTCGCTGTCAGCTCCCAGAACTGCTTCTCTGATTGGTTGATGCGGCGCTTCCAGCAGCAAAACTTCAATTTTTCCATCTCGAGCAGCAGCAGCGCGTTGGCGGTGCGTCAGATGCTTAAACGCTCCCGACGCGCTGCGCCTGCTGCTCAAAATGCGCTGCGGCCGGGACCTTTTGCTGCGCTACCATTGACTTTGCATGTAAACTCGCTGCTTCTGCTGCGCCTGCTGCGTCCGGTTTACACCGATGTTGAGCAGTTGAATAACAGCAACAACAGTGTTAATTTGTTTCACCTATGTTTTTCACATCAGCTGTGAGATGGGCACGCATGGAGTCACAGATTAACAGCAATAGTGATGAGTGGAAAAAAACCACCTGGTCTCCATACATTCACCTCCCTCAGCCACTCTTACATCATCTCCTCAATGAGGTGGTCTCAAAAGTCCGCAGTAACAACACACATAGGGCGCACCGCACCAAAGGGCACACAGCACATTTTGAGGGGAAAAAAAGACGTTTATGTGCGCCTTATAGTCGTGAAAATATATTAGGGGTGGAACAGTTCAGAGAGAGAGATATCAAACCTACCCTTTCACTTAAAAGAAATTGGTTCAAAGAGATTTGTGTCTATTACAGAACATATCATCTATGTAAACATATGAAAGTAAATAGCAGGATGGGTTTTAGTTTAGCAGATATAGTCCATTTAAGACGATCTTTGATTGTTTCTGCTCTCAGACAGGTTTGACTGAAACTTTTCCTTGAGCTAGAAAGCTTTTTGTGTTAATTCAACTGTATCTCACTCACTCACCCACCTCCACACTCTTATCTTTTACCACTTCATTGTTAAGCTCTCTCTTTGTGGAAGTTTACTTGAAAGCCTGCTTTATCAAGATGTAAAGAAATGAATCAATCTGTATTTCAAAGCGCTTTGCATTGATCATGCAGTCAGGTTTCTGTACAATGAAATTGTCAAGGCGTCGTCCTCTTACCTGCAGTTGTAGCGGGCTGAGTCCAGATGCTGCGGCGGCTGCCATTGTTGATGGAATGAACTGCATTGGGTAATTCTCACCTGGTGAATAACCACAAACAATGCATTTTACAGAAGAGACATGGGGGGAAACTTGGGCTCAAGAACAAGCCTGCACTTTACCTTCAGTATGTCCCTGTCTCATCCTTCTCTGCTTTTGTCTACTTCCCCTTTCCCAGCACATGTTTTTATACATAAACACGAAGGGTCAAGAACGCTTTATTCAGAGGTTATTAAGACTCACTGTCTGCACACATAAGTGCTTTAGACCAGGCTCGCTCAATGGGATGCACTCACCAACTCATAAGCGAGTGCCATGTATGACCCCTACTGTTTGTCCTTAAAAGGCTTTTCATGTCCAGGTCTTTGTAGGAAACAGATCGAAACAAAAAGAGAGTGCACAACAGCTGCTTTTTAACTCCTTTATTTGCTTTTTCATTCTGTTTGCAGCCTTGTGGGAGCATGTGCCTGACAAGTAGAACTAAACGGAGATTGTTTGGTATGAACTATGGAGGCTTGGTGCAAACCTGTGTCAGGAGATCACCTGGAGGAATGTACTGAGAGGAATGTGAAGGACTAGGAGGATGCAAAGAAAGCAGGTGGTGCATAGAATCCTGCAAAAACAAGACTGCATATCATGCGTGACTTTGGGCGAAGGTGCGGCACTGAAAAGAAGTTGCTGAGGTCCTTTGAGGAAAAATAGGAACTTCTTAACTTGCTGTTTGTGTTTCTTACATAGATTAAAGAATGTTCACAATATTATTTTAAATTCTATGTTTTGCCATGTTCCCCTAAAAACAATGTCATTTAATAGGATTATGTTTGCATCACAGAGGATTCAATGTGAAGCAGAAAGAAAGTTCATAACTGGCTTAATAATAACTTCAGAGTAGGAATGCCCAAAGTCGGTCTTTGGGGCAGCTGTCCTGCAGGTTTTAGAGGTTTCTCTGCCTCAGCACAGCTGATTGTGATGATTGTAGTTCAGCAAAAGCTTTTTATTTCGCTATCAATGAAAATCAGCTATGCTAGAGGAGAAAACCTCTAAAACCTGCAGGACAGCGGCCCTCAAGGACTGACTAAGGGCATGCCTGATCTAGTGCATCTCAATTTGAATCTTGCCACCGATTCTTCCTTATATAGGCCTTGTCTGTAGCTCCCTGTTAACCTCTGCACCCACATGGATGGTCAATCATCTTGCAAGATCCCAATTTAGCTCTTGGCCCAGCTTTTCTCACCCATCTCCACCCTCATTCTCAGTCCCACTCATCCTCTGGCTTATTCCACCACCAGTGTCTGGGCCCTGGGGAAAGATTACTCTAATCCTATTCTAGGTTCCTCATCCATGTGTATCTGCATTTGCAGCATCAACATCTCATTAAAGTTATTTTGTTTATATCTTCATGTGCTTCTGTCTCTTTGAACCCCAGTCGGCCTCGGCAGATGGCCGCTCGCACTGAGCCTGGTTCTACTGGAGGTTTCTCTCTGTTTAAAGGGAGTTTTCCTCTCCACCGTTGCTACATGTGTGCTTAGTGTGAGAGATTACAGAGATTCAATGAGTCCTCGCAATCAGCTGCTTTTCTTTAGATAGAAATATTTTAAAGAATATTATTGTGATACCTGTATAAATAAATTTAATATTTTCTAATTGCAACTTTTCTCTGTGTGAGTCTCTCCAGGTTGAATTGCATGTATGCAAATAGGAAGACAGAATTCTGCATAAAGTGCACATGCATCATAAATACTTGTACGAGCAGTTTTGTTTAAACACATGCATGTAAACTGCTTTCCGATCACATTTTAAGGTTCTATGGGTGCAGATTCAATATCACGAGGCTCCAGTATGTCACCACCATCAGTCCATGCTCCGTAGATTCTCTCCTACTCTACTGTGAGCGCGTTTCTGTGGTTCATGTCAACTTTTATCACTTTGAGGGTAGAACCTACCTGAGAAAGTAAACTGCCTATGTTTGGCTACATTTCAGTAAATCCTGCCTTTTAATACTACTGTTTTCGTCCTAGTTGCAGCTCATCCTCAGGCTAATTCTTGTTCTTTTCAAGAGTAGAATTTCATATCCAACAGAATCTCACCTGATCATCTTATGAACACAATGCTGGACATTACAAAGAAAATTAAAAAGAAAAAAGCCTGCTGATGGGGGGGGGGACGAGCGGGTCAGGTGGCCCAGCGTAGAGAGGGGTGGCTAAATCAGCCCTCTCCATTTATGCCCAAGAGTTTTTGGGGGGTTTTTTCCTAAACAATACTGCTTAATCCCTAAGTTACATAGAATATTACTATCACAATTATCACTGTCTTCTGATCATCCACTGCAGTATTGGGGAAGTACCTCCACCTGCCATTCCTTCTAAGGTATGGAGAGCTAAAACTACCAAATATTTAACAGACCAAAAAGTGGCAAAATGCCTATATGTAAATGTAAAAATGTCAGTGTTACTTGGGATGCATGCATTAAATATTTAAATATTTTTTTTAATCCTTAATAAATAAATAATAACATTTTGGTAATTATTTCATTGACTATTAAAAAGGTTACGCTTTGAGATATATATTTTAGGCATGACCTCATTCATAGATTGATCAATCCAGACTTTACACACACAGAAACACATATATATTATTTTGGTGTCTTTTAAAATCAGGGCTCTGCTTTCTTGCTGGTTACTTCAATAGACAGAGGCTCAAACCTTAACAGGGATTTCTCATAGAGACTGGCGAGCAGCTTCCTGCTGCTCCAGAGCGCAGAGGAGATTGGGTCCCAGAGCAGGCTCAATAGCTGATTAATGCACAATATACTCATGAAATCAGGTGCACATCAGCACATGTTTAATGCAGTTTAATGACTAAATGCATATTTTACCAATAATTTTCCGAAATTTACAGGGCAGGTTTAGCCTCCCTAGTATCACTTAAATCAGGTTTATTTTGTTATGTTCAGGAAATGTTTAGTAAGACTTCTGCATCTGATGACAAAAGAGTAAAGAAAAAATTATTTAGAAAATATTGTCAAATCTTTTTTCTCAATGCTATAAAATCAAACGATTTAAAACATACAGATGTTTGTGGTTTTAACTTATCACCTGAAAAGCAGAAATCAAACTAAGCAAGACAGCATTTGTATACGCAAGTTCAAATATATAGGAATGTTAATGTGCAAAATCTTGCTTTTGCTTTTATTCTGCTTTTTTTTTTGTTCTACTTTATTATCTAATTCATGTAAAGCACTTTAAATTGTGCATGTACTGAATTATGCTGTACAAATAAACTTGCCTTGCATTGATCATGAAGTGAACATGCAAGGTTTGTAAATCACTTTGCACCCAACAGAAGTCATTACTATCGATTCAAGGGAGTTCCTGTGTCTGTATGTTTCACATTGGAGATTTAGGAGGTCATTAATATATACCTGGCTTGTTGTACATGTTGGGTGGGAAGAGGAAGCCTTGCTGTGCAGCGGCGGCAGCAGCCAGAGAGCGCTGGTCGTGAGGGAACAGAGGGATCATCAGAGGAGGCATGTGACCCTGGACCTGAGGGGAAATCGGACCAAGAGAGAGAAGCAGAGATTAAACCATAAAAGGTATCTTAAAACACCTTGATGACTATGATTCATGCAGCCAGACATATATAACAGATGCATTTGATCAACAATTTCCAGCTGAGAATGCAAAGTTAAAATGAATTAAAATGCATTTAACTCAGCACACTTTGAACAGAAATTGAGTTTATTTATTGTGGGGGGGGGGTTTAATTACTACAGAAAAAGTGTGGTAAACTACTGGTGTTTTTGTCATACAATGGTTCAAAAACACATTTCATGATTTACTCCTCTCCCCGCTAATGGTAATCCATTTTTTTCTTTCCTCTTAACTATAATACTGTAATGCGTTTTCAAATGTATAAAAAATGTCCTTTGTGCCCTACAGTTCATCTGAAATTCGGCAGCAACATGTCACTAGAAGGACTCTAATTTATCCTCTTTTAATGGATAATTTTACAAATCCTGACTTAAAATTTCAAGTTCATACCGTGTCACTAGAATATTAAAACCTCATACTCCAACTCAAGATCAGCAAAGAAAAAGCAACTCATGGCACTAAGATGTAGATACAAAATAAAGACTACTCTTTCTGTTGAAATAGCTTCTTTTGTTTTGACTTTGACTTGAGAGTCTGGGCTAATTAAACAGCAGCTAAAGTCATTTTTATACAAACATGCTTTTCTTCAAGATCTAATGAAACAGTGTTAATAGTCTGTATTATTTAATTAGTCTGTGTTTTTACTCTGCTTTTCATGCCTTTGTTTTAATGCTCTATCTTTGTGAAGCACTTTTATGTACTATTTGTGAAAGGTTTTGTGAGAAAGAGTTAAAAAAAACATGTATTTTGTGCCTTACATATTATTTCAATGCTGGCTTTTGTTATAATGCCTTTATTTTTGAAAATGTTTTTAGGTTTTTTGTATGACTCTGTATGCAAACTTAACAAAAATGCCAGAAACATGAAGGTCAGAGAGTAAAAGAAAGAACATAAGGGAGGAAAACTTTAAACGAAAAATGTCAAGTGTCAGAAAAAAAGTGAAAGACAGAAGTGAAAAAGGTGAAAGGTGAAAATAAAAATGCAAAGAAATAACCAAGCCGTGTGGAAAGCAAACGTTAATTTTTTTTTTTTAAATGTATGTCTAAAAAGTAAAAGTCAATTACAGGGAAATATTTAAAAACAAAAAGACATCAAGATGGGAGATTAATATCAAAAAATGCCACAAAAGCGGATGTTACTAAAGGAATAGGTACATCATGTAAAAATGCTTGAGATTAAAAAACAAAAAAACCTTATAAGCGGTTTTTCTTTTAAATGAAAATTTAAAAGAAAAACAAACCAAACAACTAATAAAGATGTGTATTCCTAAACCCCTTAGTGTTACCGTGTTGAACAAAATGCCTTTATAACAACAGAGGGGCTAAAGACTTCATGTCGGCTTGAAAGACTTAAAAACAGCGTTTGACTGAGTTACGATGCTGACGACTCCAGCTGAAGGCAGCATATCAAAGATGACCCTTCAGGAATCTATTAGTGTTGGCTGTACTTTCCCTTCTCTCTCTTACCCCCCGTCTCATCCTTTTTTCTTTTCATATATTTTGGTCTAAAAAAAAAAAAAAAGCCACCCTTTAATCACCTCAAACTTTTCTTCTACTCTTGTTTTTTTTTTTTTTTTATTTTTTTTTCTATTTTACTCTTGTTCATTTTTAATCCTTTATGGTTGGGATGTTTTTGCATTAAAAAAATTTGCCAATTTCACAGATTTGCAACCCTGTTGAGAGTAAAGGTCAAAAATTTTAATAAGGAGTGCAAAGGATAAATAGCTACAGACTTGCCACCCTTAAAAAAATGCAAATAATTGCTTGATTCTATTTGGATTTATAAATATAAAGTGAAGTAATTGCAATTGATTTTAAATTAATAGCTTTTTGAAATAATTAATTACTTTATTCCTTGTTTGAAATGTATTTTAATACCGGTAATTTTATTGGACATTTAATTGTGACCATATAATTACTGCAATTTATATTCATTACCATCCAGAATGTTTATATCCTTCCTTTATTGTATTGTTTCAACTAATCCTGCAGAATACTTACACAAGTACAATAAAATACAGCATTAAAAACCATAACATTGGTACAAAATATGAAACAAAAAAAAAAGGTTTGTAGTAACTACTTACATTTACTTAGTTACATTTAGTTAAGTAAGTTTTAAAGGGAAAAAAAAGTTTTAGGGGTAGGTGTATTTTGCTGTACTTTTCAGTTTAACTTAAGTAATATTCTTGGGAGAATATCGCTACTTTTTACTTTTACTGCATTTTTATGACTTATTTTAAATGCATCTTTAAGACACCAGAGTTTGGTGTATCTGGTTCAATCGTTTTAATAGCAGTTTTTGGCTACTCTACCCAACTCTGAAGTGCTTTAGGAACAGATCAAGGAGTAACAACGCCCCACCTACAACATTTTAGGAGGCTTAAACTTAAGATTTATCAAGTAAGAGAAAACAACCCTCTATGTATCGTTTTGATAATTCTTTGGGTTAATTAGCAGATTAAAAAATGCCCAACTCTGTTCATCCTTTACTCTCCTGCTCAGCAAAAAACTGTTTTCATTAAAGATTTTACAGCTAAACATAAGCTTGGATGTAAAGAGTGAGGGTAGATGTCATCACAGAGTAAAAATGTACATACAGTGTATAATGATTTTTTTTTTTTTTACACAATATTATTACCCGTTCTCACTGAAACCAGTGACTTAACACTTTGCCACGTGTTCTTATGCTGTATGTTGTCGGTCAGATCATCACTCATTTATGAGGTCTTTGTCCGACTTTCTATCCGCTTTCTCCTCCTTCTGTTTCGTTGCATTTTCTTATTTGTATAACTAAACATATTTTGCTTTTTCTGGTAAAACTACCACAAAGTCAAACTATTTTTTTTTTCTTTTTTACCAGTTTATTGCTATTTAAATAGATTAATCTCCTTTAAAAGCAGTTCACTGATGACCCAGAGCCTGCTGAACCGTCGATAAAGTTCATGATAAGCGTTCAAAGCTTTGCAATCATTATGTCTCTGCTATGCTACAGTGTTATGCCGCTGAATTAGTTAATTAAGATGCCTCTCCTCTGGGATGTTAATGTGTGCAGCAGAGAGGTTTAAAGAGCATGACTAAACAGGGACTTACAGACGGATGAACAGAATCCTTTTTGACTGGTTTGTGCTTTCTGAAGCACCAGAATGATTATTATGATGTTATGATTATTATATCAACAGAAATGTAATTACCATAGCTTTGATGCTAAATAAATATTGCAAATATTTAAAAATGCAAAAAAATAATACAAAGATAACCAGTTACCCCATAATTATAGACAAAGAGCAATTTGTTGACAGTCCTGGTACAGAAAAAATGTATAATCCATCTATATAAAAAAAAATATAGAGCTTAATTTGCATGATTTTGTTTAATGGGGAGTATTCTTTGTGTAAAGAAAAACCTCAATATTTCTATCTCCTCCTAGAGGCTTAAAGACTGAGATCCTCATGGAAGAGGTGGAAAACAACTTTTTTAATTTACAGAATGAGTACAATAGGTTTTTTTATTCAGGTATCCAGGTGTTTCAGAGTTAAACCGACACACAGCATCACTCATCCTCCACCTAAATTAATAGTGTGAATGTTCTTTTTTTACTGAACATCACAGCCTTAGGGATGAGGTTTCATGTGGTCATACTCAAAGATTTAATTACCTGAATTACAACAAAGATATATACGGTATATATATTTTGCAATACTGCTGATATAAAAAATTAAGAAGACACTGATAATGATTACCAACGGGTTCCTCCTCCTTTCTTTTTTATCCTAACATATATGGCCTACACGTATAAATCAATCTTACTGAAACAAAACGCATTAATAACACCAACATTGTATGCAGAGAATCCAACATTTACAGCGTTGATTGATTGATTGATTGATTGATTGATTGATTGATTGATTGATTGATTGATTGATTGATTGATTGATTGATTGATTGACTTTATTGATCTCAGTGGAGAAATTTACTTGTTACATCAGCTCAAAAAGTCAAAGGAGAAGAAGAATGTGCCAAAGGAAGAAAAAGGTGCATGGGCTATATACTGATATACAGTGTGTGCACATATGACACCTTTTTTCTTTTTTTCTTTCTTTTTTATAGTAGAATTGTTATACAGGGTTATTGCACAGGGAGTTTAAGTGGGTATTTACATAGATGAATATTTATATTTTAAGTTATTGAACTGCATGTTAAATATAGAGAAACAGGTTATTGCACAGGTTATTGAACAAGTAAAACTGTGTGTTAGTGTAAAAAAAGATGCAAAACATACATTAGATAGGTACCTATCTTATGTATGTTTTTTGCACTTACGATGGCTTTAATTAGACCTTTCAACATTACCCTTAGAAAGAAAACCATCCTTCACAAGAAAATTCCCATTCCTATCTTCCACATGTGGTCCCTAGTTCCCACATAAAATGTGAAAATCACATGTGAAATTCGTGAAAAGTTTCTGCAATGAGATTGTGTTTTCACTGTTATATCGACAGACTGCCTACTGCAGACAGAACCACTTAGATCACCCTTAAAAAGATCAATATCTTCTGAGACATGCAGATGTTAGCAATGCACTGCTGGGGCATTCCTCTACATACATATATTCATACATTCATACCCTCCCATAAAGATAAGAAGTCTAACGCCTTATGACGTGTGAGAGAAGAAAAACTAGTCTGTTTCTAAATGGCTAAATACACAAAAAAAAAAGAGTGAGTATTGGAGTGTGTGATCGTGTGTGTGTGTGTGTGTGTGTGTGGGTTGGGGGGGTGTTGAAGCAGGATTGGAGAAGGGGGTATGGAGTAGGACAAAATGCTCCCATTCATTGTGCTCCTCTGGGAACACTAGGACTGACTGGGGCAGCTTCTCCAGCGCAAACACACA